AAAAAAAAAAAAAAAAAAAAAAAAAAAAACTCAGCACATCACCGCACGCGCCTGAGGGGGGGGGGGGGAACCCACCAACACAGGCAGGGCAAGCCGCTGTATATAAACAGAGAGCAAACTCAACTCCATTCTAGCACTGAAGATGTTAACTAGCTGGGTAACGAAACGTCTGCAAGAAAACCACCAAGCTCAAAGAACCCCAAGGAATCCACAGAATTAAAATTGCTAAGACAAAACTTCAGATATGCTGATTATATCACTTTGATAGCTGCAATCAAGGAAGATTAAGTAATCTCTTCTTGATGATGAAAGAAAAGAATGCAAAAGCCAACCTACTGCTCAGTATTTTAAAAAACTAAGATATGTCAATAGACAATGCCAATCCAACCCAAACAGGCTCAAAATCCACACAGATGGTGACTAAAACCATGAGATAAGGAAATGTCTGCTACTTGGGAGAAAGACTATGGCAAATCTAGACAAAATATTAAAGTGCAAAAACATCATAACAAAGGTACATATTGTCAAGGTTTTGGTTTTCCCAATTATAACTTACATTTGTGAAAACTGGATCATCAGAAAGGCTGAACAAAAAAAGTGATGCCTTTGAATTGTGGTGCTTGAGAAAGTTGTTGAGAATACCTTGGATCCCAAGAAGAATAAATAATTTAGTACTAGATGAAGTAAAACCAGACTACTCACTGGAAGCACTAATAACAAATCTAAAGCTTAAATGGTTTGGAAACATAATGCAAAGACAAGAGTCGGTGGACAAGAGCTTGATCCTTCAAAAAACCAGATAAGGCAATTGAAAAAGGGGCACGAGACAGCACAATGGCTATATATCATCACTGATGATACAAACATGGGCTTACAAAAACTCAAAGAGGCAGTTACTGACAGACAATTCTGGTGAAACAATATCCATCAGATCATAAAGGGTCAGAGCAAGTGAATGACAACGATCAGATTAAATATACAGTTCTACAGTTAGAAAGCTGTAGCTAACAAGGAATGTTGACCTTGAACTCAAGGGGAAATGTGAAACCACGTATTTGGCTATTGACAAACATGTCAAATACTCAACAGATTTCTAATAAAACAAGTTACCAAAGATGTGGTTTTTAATTAAGGCCATGCTTATTGGCAGCAGATAACCTACACATTTTGGGATAAATAGATATGCTTAGGGTTTGGGGACTCCTTTTCCCTTCTTACAGCAGCCTGCATGGGCAACAAACAAGAGCTATAGTTCAATCTTCCATGAATATAAAAACCCAGATGCTGGATTTCTCTCCCAAGCTGTTAAAGAAACACATTACATAGAGAAAACATACTGGAATGCCATAGCCAATGTTTGATAAAGGTCAACAAGGTAATATTGATATGTTAATTTACTGTACGAAAATGTATATGGTGAGCTTCTGTGGAAGAAAAAGGAGTGCTAGCAACAGGAAAAAGCGCTCTTACTAAGTGCAAATCTAGCTCAAATAAACTTAACGAGAAGAAACTGGTTGACTATATAACTTAAAGTACGCATGTTGCACTTTTTCTAACAATGTACTGACACATTGGAATGCTGCTAGTTATTTACCGGGGGTCAATACTTTTGTAAACTTGGGGGCTAGAGTTTTAATTTCTTCAACTGCAACCTACCAAAGTGGTAGTGGTAGACAGAAGGCAAAAAGTTTAAAAAAATTTTCCTTTAGTTTAAGTAACTAAAGTTACTTAAGTTTTCCTTTAGTTTAAATAACTAAAGTTACTTTAGTTACTTTATTCCAAGGAAATATTCAAAATTATGAACTGGAGAGAGGGCGATACTATGAGTTGTGTATAGAAAACCACTAACTCAGGAATGTGAGAAATGTAGTAAATGTGTACAGCCCAGGTCTCCCTGCCAGTACTCACCAGCTTCCCCACACTATCTGCCCCAAAGTCTGTCCAGTCCTTCCCAATCCTCCTCCAACCACGTTGCCTGCATTCATTCAAAAAAGAAGGGGGGGAGGGGGGGAGAAGCTGTAGTGATTTTTAAGGGAAGAAACTATAAAACTGATAGCTCCCTAAAAATAAGACTGCACTTTTTTTGTTTTCAGATAGGAAACATAAGATTCCTTCTGTTTGTTCTGAGGCAGGAAATAACCAAGAAACCTTTTTTCTTCTTCTGGCAGTCTTGAGACTAAAACCAGATTGCAGGTATATAAGAATCTATATACCAATATCTACTACAGTGGAACCTTGGGTTACGAATTTAATTCATTCCGTGACTCTGGTCGCACCCCGAA